CAGGCAGCTCTTAGGTCTACATTTCTTTAGGGCTGGTTCCTGGAGTGTTGTTTTGCTCCAGTGATTGGGCCGTCTTCCCCGGTTGATTTGTATGCCTCAAAATCTTTTGTTGGGATTTGGGCATTTGAAGGATCAATCACCTCCCTCAGTCTTTGCATACCAGCTTGGTGCATAGGAAGACCTTCACCGATTGGCTGGAGGTTCTAGGACCTCTCAAACCTTTTCCAATGTCTTCTTGCCCCTAGCATCTACCTACATAACTGCAGCTCTTACCTGCTGCTCACTTCTGTTTTCAGGAGCTTCCAGACTCTATCTCAGGTTGCTTCAGCCTTCCAAGTCAGGCAAGACAGAAACCAGTCCCTCAAATAGCCCCCAAACAAGCCAGAACATTGTATGCATGGTCCACTCTCTTGTTTTTATCCCAAGGGAGGGGCCCAGAATTCGTGATTTTTTTTTCCTAGTTGCTCCACACTACACCACGTAGAGGGAGGAGCACATGGGGTATGCTGAATGCTGGGAATTTTCCCACCTCTGTCGCTGGAATCTCTTCTTGGTTTTACAAGGGCCAGTGTGCTGTAGCTTGTCCCATGATCTCTACAATTCTCACGGAGGTATTCAGGTGTTTACATAATGTTGTTAACTTAATGTCTCTATGGGGGAAGGAGGGCCTGTAGCTTTCTTGGCTGCTGTCCTGCTGACGTCACTTCCATAGGGAACTTTTCAACAAGTGGTATTGGAAAAACTGGATCTCCCCCTCCCACCATATACGAGGATACATTTCAGGTGGGCCGGAGTTTACAATGTGAAATACGAAACCCTACACTACAGGAGACAATCTTCTCTACATTTAGAGTGGGAGATCTTTCCCGGCTATGACTAAAAACCCAAAAGATATAAGGCAAAATATTGATAAAGTTTATTAAGGAAACATAAAATGCTTTTGCATGGCGAAAAATGAAACAAAACACCATCAATGAGGTAAAAAGATTCATAACAGACAGGAAAAATGATTTATGACTTATATCAGAAGCAAAGGTAAATGTCCTAATATATCCCTAAGATACAAATAACTTTTTTTGGAAAGGAAAAAATGCCAAGGCCCCTATACTAACTGGGCCAAAACCATAAACTAAAATTACATAAGAATAAAGAAAACAGGAATTTATCTTAACCATATGGAAAAGATGCACAACCTGGCACATATGAAGGGAAGTGCAAGTTAACGTATATACACGAATATATCATTTCTCTCCTTTCAGATGGGCAAATTCAAAAATCTGGCAATACTACTGGTGAGATGCTGGGAAAACTTTCTCTCTCCGATATTGATGGGGAAAAGACCAATGGTCCGTCCTTCTTGAAGAGGTATTTGACAGTGATGAGCAAGACAGCTTGCGTTTTCGCCTTTTAAGCAGCAATGGCACATCTAGGGATCAATCCCAAAGACGTAGTGAAACAAAAATTGCTAAAGATGTGTCATAAGCCTATCCATTGCAGCCATATTTAAAATAATAGCCAGACTATAAACAACCAGAGTGTCCATCAATAGAAGACTAGTTGACTACACTATGGTAGGTCCACACAGTGGAGTACCCTCTAGCTGTTGAGAGGAGTGAGGGATGTCTCCAGGGAGCACTGTGGAGTGATCTCAAGGATTTCTTTTTTCTCGCTCTGTCACCCAGGCTGCAGAGCAGTGACGCGATCTCGGCTCACTGTGACCTCCGCCTCCTGGGTTCAAGCGATTCTCCTGCCTCAGCCTCCTGAGTAGCTGGGATTACAGGCACCCACTGCCACATCCAGCTAATTTTTGTATTTTTAGTAGAGACAGGGTTTCACCATGTTGGCCAGGCTGGTCTTGAACCCCTGACCTCAAGTGATCTGCCTGCCTCGGCCTCCCAAGGTGTTAGGATTACAGGCGTGAGCCACCACGCTGGCCTCAAGGATTTCCTCAAGGATTTCTTTTTTTTCACTTTTAGTAACTTTGTTTATTCATGTGTCTTTAACCGCTTCAGTACGTGCATTACATTGTAGCTACCACACCTACTCGCTGAAATAACACAGTTCTCAACATGGGGAACAAGTAGCACTTATAGTAACTTTTCTTATATGCGTGACTTTAAAGGCTTCACAAGATGCATAATAGTGTGTGGTCAGTACATCCATTCACTGAAATAACACTGTTCTCAGCTTGGTGATCAAGTAGCCTCAAAGATATGATTTTAAGTTTAGAAAAAAAGGCAAGGTGGAGAACTTTATGTGTTAATAGTTTACGCAGCATTTGTCTAAGCAAAAGGAGGGAGTGTAATGAACGTCAGTCTCTCTAGAGAGAGATACAGGTCCAATGGCCAGGTAATACCAGTTGCCCCCATTCCTTTAGCCTTTAAGAAATCTGTTGACAAAAAAGAAAAAGAGAACTCTGTTACATATCACCCCGTATGAATGGGTTTTGCTAATTCTGAGATCCCTACCACTCACCTCTACCCAACTTTGGCCCCCTCCAGGAATATGCATTCCCACATAAATGGTTTTGACTATTCACTCCGCTCGATATTTGTCCCAGATCTTTCCATTTTTTCTTTAAAAATAATATTTTCTCACACATTTTGGGCTGTTCCTGGTCAGAAACCAGCAGTAGCAGCCCTTTATGGCCCTGCAGTGTTAGTGGAACCTACTTTGAAAAAGCAGTCTTTCTGGGCAAGGGTTGAAAGCGGCGGAGTGCTGGACCTGGCTCTTACTGGAACTTGAGAGCCAACTATAAGATTTTCAAGAATTTTGTGAACCAGTTGTTAAATACAGCCATTATTAAAAACTAAATTACAGAAACTAACAATCACACCAATTATATTGAAAACAAACATGATATATGCTCAAAAATAATTAATCCCTAATTATTTTTGTACATTGTACTCTTATCTGTGTTCTTGTGGTTATTTACGTTTGTTGTATCTGAATGGTAAAAATACATCTCTTCCCAACTCTGCATTCACTGACGTCACTTTGATATCTTGCATTCAGCAAATGCAACAACCCAGAGCATTTTCCCCAACCTTCCTTCCCTACGAGCCAGTTGCTAAACCTGTACCTGCACACTAGTGGTTGAAACTGATCCACTCTACAGAAGCTCTACAGAAGCTCAGATCTAACCAATGCTGTTATATGACATACTTGAGTCAACACATAACTCACAGTGCTCTGTACAGTGACGTTTTAAATGTGTGAACTGGGCTAGTACACAACTAAGGGAAGTACACGAAAAAGGTTTGATATTTAACAGTCACAAAGATGTCCTAAGATGCAAACACTACATCATTATGAGACTTTTGAAAAAGTGTGTGTGTTGCAGAGGGGCAGGGGGGACCAGGAAAACCGAAGGGTACAGGGAAAAGGGCCTGACTCCTTCCCCCAACGCCCATCACTTTATTTCTGTTTTTCCTCCCTCTTCTCATGCCACATCCTTTAACGAAAATATGCTTCCTCTTTTACCCAACTCAACTCTGGGACTGTGGTGTGCCTAGGACACAATTTCATAGCAGGATCTTAGTCCTCTCCCAGGTACTGCCACTTCATTCCTCCAGAAATATGTGGACTTGTCCATCCATCACTGGGAATAGAGGGGATTTGGGATCATTTGTTTGAGTAACAAATCAGGGAAGGAAGGAAGGTGTGAGATGGACTTCAGTCTTGCTCTGAGTCTGAGTGGCTTTGCATGTTTGTTTCTCTGCCATCAGGTCAAGAATATAAGAATCCTGACTGCTCAGCGTCTCAAAAAAGAAAAGACTGGTTGTAACTGGATGTCATCCCAATCAATCGTCTTGGGTAAAGTACTGGCAGGGAAGAAAGGAGGAAGATAATAGCATGGAAAAGGGTCCATATCCAGGCATGTCCAACTGAGCTTTCTCTCTGCCTGGTGGGGGTCTCCAGGTCTTCATTTGTTTAGAATATCAGCAGAGGACTGGCAAACCAGTGCAGGTAAGAAAGATGTGATTGATTACTACGTATTGTTACCTTGAGTAAGAAATAAAGGGACTATTTTGGAAAAACCCTCTGGCTGATGTTTGTCACTTTGAGTTTTGAACCTTTTATTCAGTGCTTTATAAAAAAAAAAAAAATCGAATTATTAGCTAATTTAAGGCCTGGTAAAGACAAGGGAGTGTTCGCTGATCTTTGGCTTAAAATTTCCCCAAAACCACTTTCGCAAGCCACTTGCATTCTTTGAGCGTGTTTCCTCATAGGCAAAATGGCAACAATAACACTTGGCTTGCAAAGTTACCGTGAGGCTGTATGTGCTTAGTGCGGTGAGCACAGAATAAATAAAAGGTAGTAGTGATGCTTCCTCATATTTCATGGGTCCTTCAAAAATAGGGTCTGAGTCTAATTCATTTCCCCTATTTGATTCTTCTTATCCTGATTGGCCTCAGTTTCCCCCACTGTAAAATTCACATTTGACTAGAATAAAACTGGCATTCCCATTGGCCAAAACTGTCCTTCATGGAAGTTTGGTTTGGCCCAGATATAGGGCTTAAAGAAGAAACCCAAGCCAACGTTTGCAAGTTGAGTGATTTTATATAGAAATCTAGAATTCCACCTTCTCTTGAAAAAACAGTCAATTTGGCCACCATGAGTCACCATCCCTGCGTGGTATCAATTGCCTAGGGCCAAGCAGCAGCTGCCCACTTAGGTAGAGCATACACTGTCAGTCTGGCCAGAGCCCATCGGGCCTGCTCTACTCATTTACGTGATCTGCTTGATCCTGTGGGCATTGCCACTCATGGCCCTCTGGACAACTGGAAACAGCCTGTGTCAGGCAGAGGGTAGGTACTTAACTGCTCAATGAATAAATACCCTACTCTTTTTCCTCTACCATTTTCTTATCTAGGCATGTTAAGAAATCCCAGTTATTGGATAAGGTGATTCTCACTTTGAAACATGAATTGAACAAATTGGTTAGAGTCGGGATAGTCTGGGTTATACTGTGGTAACAAACAACCCGTATATCACAGTGCCTTATAACAACAAGGGTTTATTATTTGTTCACGTACATAAACCTAGACACAAAGTGAAAACATCTTCATGTTTCCACATGCATGGGTACTCACATAAGTGCACAGGTATGTCAGCAATCACAAGACGAATAAAAACTCTGGCATATGAACTCACACAGAACCCCACTGAGAGACTGGTCAACTTAGATTGCACAATCCTGTCCTTGTGAGACAGAGAAAGGGCCCAGCATCCAAAAGAGTAAGGGATAGAAGTGCAAGGATATCCACCCTCAACAAAGGAATCGCCCCATATAATAAAAAGCTTATAAAACACCTGAAGGCTCTAAAAAAAGATGTTAAGCGATTTGGACATTAACCATTTTGCACATTCAGAAACTGTATACCAAATAGGCAGTGCTCTATTGAGGCCTCCTCCTCTGGGTTCCTAGCTCAAGAGGGAGATGCATCCCAGATGTCCAATAGGCAGCGAGATGGAGCTGGCTGGCCTGGGGCGGAGAGAGGGGCTGGGAGGCTGGAATCCTTTATCTCCAGCAGGAGCTGTGGACAGAAAGGAGGGGGCCGGAGCCAGGTCACATCCACATCCCCTTCCAGGTCTACGCTTTTTACATGTCCCGCCTAACCAAAGATTTGTCACCTGGACTGTTGCATAGACCTCTTCCTCTCTGATTTCCCCATCTCCCATCTTGCCTCCCCCAATCCCTCCATCAAAGCCACCACAACTCCTTTTGTTAAGCTCAGGGTCTCTGAAATTGTTCTCCCTAGCTCAGAAAACGTTCCCTGGCTCCTCACTACCCACAGTTGCTGGTCCAGCCTCCTAAGCCTGACCTGTCAGACCTCTGTGATTGGTACCCTCTCCAGCCTCATCCCTTTCTGTTAGCAGTCCCTCCAGGGTTGTATCTTCACTGACACACTATGCTCCATCCACCATTTTGATCTGGGAATGCCTAGCCTTCCCTCACAGCCTCCCCAGTTCTTTATCCCCCCTCGGAGCTCCTCCAGCCCCTCCTCTCTGGGCACATCGTTAAAATTTGGCCACAAAACACAGCTTGCCAAGGCATCCAGCCTCCACGTCGAGACTGGAAGCTCCCGGAAGGCAGAGACCAGAACTCCTTCCAGACCAAGCCCTTTATCACCTCTGTATGTCCTCCCCAGACCACAGTAGGCCACAGGGGGCTGAGCATAGAACCTGGGATGAAAGTCAAGGGAGTCGGTTCTTCCACTTGATATGCTGCATGCTCTAGGGCAAGTCCCTGCCACCCTCAGGCCTTCCTTCTTGACATCGGGGCACTGGACGCTTGCTGTTGTGCACAAAGCTCAATAAACTGAAGATTCACTAAACAGCCCTCAACTACCATCTCGGGAGTCAAACTGAGGAGCTTGGGTGCTTGGCCCCAAGGAGATTCAACTTACTCTGATTTTTCAGTTAGAACCTGCTTACCACGACGACCCCCATTCCCCAGCTATTCCCACTCTGTGTTCTCCTTTCAGGGAGCAGGCTACCTGGTGGGTTGCAGGGCTGGTGCAGGGAGATGGAGTCAGGAGGGGCCTGGGCAGAGTTTCTCAGAGTCAGCAGAGCCTCAGCAGCCTCCAGCTTCCGCTGCCACTCTGAGTGGGCAGAAACCAAAGCCTGGTCAGAGACTTTGGGGACCTGCAAAGGAAAGGGTGTGAGAGAATAGGCACTGGGAAACTACACCACTTCCCAAGGCGACAAGTGCCCCTTCAGCCCCCTGTTCCCTCAGCCTCCTCCCCCACCCCCACCAAGGCCTTCTGCTCTTCCCATCCACTAAGCTCCGCCCCTCCCAGGGTTCTGGACCCCACTACTTTCCCAGGACCTGTGGCTGCAGTAGAAGAGGGTCAAGGGTGGCACAGGGCTGGAGGATCAGAGTTGAGCATCTAGAAACAAGGAAAGGAGAGGCCAGGGGATTAAATCCACTGGCGGACACAGCCTACCAGTAGACAGAGAGACGGGCAGGATTTTTGCAGTATCTGGATGTGGGAATCCCAATGCCTGCTGGACCATTGGTCATTGTGGTTGGGGCAAGTCCCTTCTCCGGCTTGGCCAGGTTTCTTTCCCATACCTTTTCCGTTACAGGGACACTTATGCCTACCAGCTTTTTCCTCCCAGGGCAATGATAAATATCATGGGAAATTACACGTGTCTGTGTTTTAATTTGCAAAGCACCTGGAGAGATGTTATTACTGTCCCTGCTCAGGGACTGGTTCTCACTTCCATATTGCCCAATCCTCATGGGTCTTGAAGGACAAGCACGGCTCACCTCCAAGAAGCTTTCTCTAATGGCCTCTAGGCTTTGCCCTGGACCCCTGTGGCCCTTGTCAGCACGGACCCCACCTTTCAGGCAGGACCTTCTAACCCATCCACCTGTTTCATGTGAAACAACAACCCCCATTTGTTGAAGCCCTACTATGTAGCAGGCCTTCTGCCAGTTCTCTTTTCAATGCTATGGGTATAGAATATTGTCCTCAGTACATCCATAGGGAAATGGAGGTTCAGACACATAAAGTCACTTGTCCAAAGTCTCAAAAATAGAAAATAGCAAAGCTAGGAGAGCCCTGTCCTTGCCCGTTAGTCTTAGATGCTACCTTGCTCTCCTCCTCGTCCTTCTCCCTCCTCCTCCTCTTCCTCCTCCTCCTCCTCCTTCTCCTCCTCTGTTTCCCATGGCATCAGGAACAAGGTTAGGCACACAAGACACAACCTACTCCATGGTCCTCACACTACTCACATGCTGGGCAGGGCAGGGGCCCTGTGAGGATCCCCAGAAGGAGAAAGCAGTTGCTGCTCCAAGGTCACTGGAGTACAGGGCAGAGACAAAGTTTCTGGGGCCTGGCCAAGCAGCAGAGCCCCTTGGGAGCTCCCCTGCAGGGGCAGAGAGCACATGTTGCAGTCAGGTACCAGGCTGGCCGTGGAGAGAGGAGGTGTGGACATCTTTCGGGATGAGGATAGGAGCCTAGAATGTCAGTGCTCTAAAGACCTTGAAGACCAAGCAGTCTTACCTTTCATTTTGCAACTGGGGAAATTGAGGCCCAGGGAGGAGAAGTGATTTTTCTCAAGGTCATATGGTGAGCTGATGGATAGGATTGGAGATGAAACCCATGTCTTTGGGACACAGTGCAAGGTGTCTGGACAGTGGCTGGGTGGTAGCCTCCCCAGCTGGCCACCGACTCTCCTTACCTCCTCCGGGGCTGTGAAGATGTGGGTCTCGGACTGCAGCATGTTGTTCTCCTTCCCAGCTGCAAAAGACCAGGAACAGCTTTGGTGAGTCTTTCCCCCCAACCCCACCCTACTTCACCCCACCTCCAGTCTCAGGTCTCATCTCACCATGGAGCTCTTGGATTCCCCTGTCCCCCAGATCTCTCCTTCCTACAAACACTTGGTAGATAACATTGATGACATTTTACACCTGGAAAAACTAAGGTCCAGGGAGCAACTTGCCCCAGGTCACACTGCAATTCTGTGACGGGACTGGTGATAGAACTGCTCATGCTTCCTCCACCCAAACTCTGGCTCCCTCCCTGGCCAGAAACACTCACTGAGAACTCCTGCTCTGATGGTTAAATTCCTGACACGGATGGGAGCTTTGGGAGGGGCAGCCATACTCCTTCTCAGTCCTTGAGCCAGGTGTCTCTTTGGCTGTACCCGCTGCTCCCTCTTCAAGGCACTCACAGCAGGCAAGACCCTGAGGCGTTCTCTGAAGTAAAGGATTTCAGGGCAAAGGTTAGTTCCATTTAGAGGATGCCTGACCCCTCCCTGTCTCAGACACCATACTCATGAGAAGAGGGCACAATTGTGACACTCGCAGGCCTGGAAGAGGCAGAAATGCTTGTGGCCACTGATTTGGGCAGTGATGCTGTGGTTGTGGTAGAGGTCACAGCAATCTGTAACTCTTCTGGGGCCAAGTTCAGTCCCCCATGGTGCTCCAGTCTCACACCCTGTGGTGCATTCAGAGTCAGAGGGGCAGCAGGGTGCAGCAGGTATTTCTTTGGGATCCATGGTTCCAGGGTCAGGAGCGGAGGTCAGAATGGCCACATGATCCCCTACCCCCAACGTACTTCCTCTGCGCTTGGAAAACCCTATCTGAGGCGGCTGAATGCTTCTCCATCCTTCTCACCACTGGAATCAGATTGCCTTCCCTCCCCTTCTCCTCCCATGGTTTTCACCAACCTTCACTGCGACCTCCTTGCTCACGTTGCCTCCTTCCCAGAAAGCCTCACTCACACATAGCCCCTTCCCAAGAAACTCTTGGCATGGATCCTGTACCCATTCAATCCAGTCATCATTCTCCTTGCTTACCGAACCCTCACCATAGACCCCATTTTCAGGCATGCACGTGCACTCCCGCTCCCCCTTCCACCGTTACTACACTCGCTTCTTGTGTATCATCCTGCACTCTGCCAAATCCAACTATTATTCCTGGCATCCTCTTCAATTCTCTTCCGAACCTTCTGTATTCACTCATTCGCGTCCCCAGCACTCAATTCTGTTATAGTCTCTCCTATGTCCTATATTCAATTTTCCCCTCACATTTCATGCTGATTCATGCTGATTTTTTTTTCTTGCACCCCCACCTTACACTTAATTATTCCCTTGCTCCCCCTTTAAGCTGATTTCCCTCTTGTACCCCATGAAATCATATTGTTCTCCTGGTTCCCTGGCCCTCTTTCAATTATTATTTTCATTCATCCCTTCATGCATCCCCTTGATTCTTTTTTTTTGCTTTGCATTTTATCTGCCGTTTCTCCCCATGTTATCCCTCCCCACCCTCCCCTCCCTCTCCAGCCCCGGCTGTCTTTCCTCTACCCACCCCCAAATGCCCCCAGTGTGTGATGCTCCTCTCCCTGAGTCCACACGTTCTCATTGTTCAACACCCGCCTATGAGTGAGAGCACGCGGTGTTTGGCTTTCTGTTCTTGTGTCAGTTTGCTGAGAATGATGGTTTCCAGATTCATCCAAGTCCCTACAAAGGACATGAACTCATCGTTTGTTATGGCTGCGTAGTTTTCCATGGTGTATATGTACCACATTTTCTTGTTGCTCAGGCTGGAGAGCAATGGCAGATCTCGTCTCACTGCGACCTCTGCCTCCGGGGTTCAAGTGAGTCTCCTGCCTCTGCCTCCCGAGCAGCTGAGATTACAGGTGTCTGCCATCATGCCTGGCTAATTTTTTGTATTTTTAGTAGAGGCGGAGTTTCATCACGTTGGCCAGGCTGCTCTTGAACTCCTGACCTCAGGTGAGTCACCCTCCTCAGCCTCCCAAGGCGCTGGGATTACAGGCGTGAGCCACCGCGCCCAGCCGATTCCTTTGATTCTTCATTCAGGAGACATCTGTTGAGCCCCCTATGAAGTCTCAGGTTATGATCTAGCCCATAGGGAACTCCTAGGGCAGTAGTGTTTCTCTGGGGCCGACCCTCTCTGCTTTCATGCAAACCCACACGTTCCCTCCACAGCCTCCCCGAAATCTTCCATACTTCTCTCCACACTTCAACAATTGTGCTTGAGCACACCATCTCCCCCCACCCCCATCCCACCCCACACACCCAGTCCCACCGCCCCAGAATGCGCCACTTCCTCAGGAAGCCCAATCATTCACTCTCTCCTCGACCTCTGAATCAAAAGCAGTTCCATGAGCTCTGCCTCACTGGCCAAAGGCCAGGGCTCAGGGGGCTGGAGCAAGGGGTCCTCCCAAAAGGGGTTCCGGGAGAGCTGAGGGCGGAATGGGACATCAGGAGAGGATGGGAGTAGCAGAGAGGGGAAGGGTTTGGGAATCCGGCTCAGGAGGATGGGAGGAAATAGGAGGTGTGGGGAACAAACGTTTAATTCTGATATCAGCCTGCGGTTACCCCAGCCTCTAGCAAGTCAGAATCAGTCAGAGGGTCTGAGGGAAGACCCAGCGTCTGCTTCCCTTCGCTCCCTTGCCACAAAGGCCAATGAGCTCTTGCACTGCCTTCGACCTCCCGCCCCTGTGGCTGGCGACCAATGAACTTCGAGATCTCTTGCCGCCCACGCTCTGAGGCCACGCCCTCCTCACCGCCCTCTAGCTTCTCCTGTTCGCTACACTAGATCAGTCAAGAAATCCTGAAGTGATCCTTGAGTTTTATGCTCCCCAAGGCTTGTTTCCCAGATTAGTCTCCCTTTGAGTGTGAAATATTTTGTGTGCATGCATTTTTAACTCATGTACTTGGTATTCTGTAATTTACCTTTTAAAAATTCAGCATGTGATTAAAGATCGATCCGTATTTCTATGCCGCGGATTCCCAATCAATGGTGACTTTGCAACCCCCAAGAAACAAAGCCTGGAGACACTTTCGTCCATATTTGCGTGCCTCCGTTTATGAACTCCCTGTTAATGTTCCATAGATAAATGTGTCTATTCCTCTACCACTACTACATTGTCTTAAATTTTTTCACTTCATAACACATCTTGACATCTGCTAGGGCAAGTCTCTGCATGGTATTCATAATTTCCAAACACATCCTTGCTATTCTTTGCCTTTTGTCCTCCTGCATAAATTAGTATGCAATGTCAAGTCTCCCCCAGACTTGGTTGTAACAGATTTGGATTGCATTTTCACTGAATCTATGGATCAGTTAGGGGAGAAACCACTATCCGTAGAATACTCAGCCTTCCTATTCACCAACTTGGGATGTCTCCACTTATGTGGGTCCTTAATGTTTTAATGTTTCACTTTAGTTTTTAGTTTTATCTCTTGTATATTTAGGTCTAGCACATCATTTATTGTATTTATCCCAAGATACTGTAGATTGTTGCTGTTCTTGTACTTGATGTCTGTTTAAAATGACAATTTCTATTTGGATCTAATTTACAAAAATGCTTTTAATTTTTCAAAACGTGACTTGATCTTAAAGCCAGCCAACACGCCAAACTCTATAGGCGTTCTGAAGTTATCTGTGAGTTTACAAGTAGTAGAAATAGAATTGAACTTACGGTTTTCTGTTTTTTTGTTGTTGTTGTTGTTGTTGTTTTTTTTTTTTTTTTTTTTTTTTTTTTTTTTTGACTGTGCTGGCTCGGAAGCCTAGTACAAGATCTAATAGTGACAGCAAAATTGGGCTTATGTGATTGTTCCTGATTTTAGAGAAATGCTGCCAGCATTTCCGTATTAAAATAGCTTCCTTGTGTTTTCTTTTCCTTTCCTTTCCTTTTTGTTCCTTTCCTTTATTTTCCTTTCTTTTCCTCCTTCCTTCCTTTCTTCTTCCTTTCTCCCTACACCACCACACCATTCCCTTCCTTCCCTTTTCTTTTTCCTTTCTTTTCCATCCCTATTCCTTTTCCTTTTTCCTTTCCTTTGCTTTCCTTTCCTTTCCTTTCCTCTCCTTTCCTTTTCTTCCTCTTCCTCTCTCCCTACACCACCACACCACCCCCTGCATGTCTTATGCCTTTTGTCCTTCTGCATAAATTAGCATGCAATGTCAAGTTTCCCAGAAAGTCTATTGTAACAGACTTGGATTGCATTTCCACTGAATCTATGAATCAGTTAGGGGAGAATCCACTATCTGTAGAATACCCAGCTTAGGGTAACTTCGAGATTTTTTCCAAAACCTTCAGCAAAGTTTAACTCATAATCCAAAATGTAAAAAAAATTATAAATGTATATTTTAATGAGTTTTCTATTTCCTTCTTTCTTTTCTTTCTTTCTTACCCTTTTTCCCTCCCTCCCTTCCTTCCTTTCCTTGGGTTGCTTTCTTTATTTGATTTGTAAACAAAGAAGAATCGAAAAAGAAGCCCCTCACTCTGTCACCCAGGCTGCTGTAGTACAGTGTCATGATCTTGGCTCACTGCAACCTCCACCTCTTGGTGTCAAGCAATCCTCCTGCCTGAGCCTCTCAAGTAGCTGGGACTACAGGCACATGCCACCATGCCCAGGTAATTTTCGCCTATTTCGTAGACACACGGGGTTTTGCCATGTTGCCCAGGCTATCTTGAACTCCTGGGCTCAAGCAATCTGCCCAACTAAATTGCTGGGATTATCATGCCAGGCCTCTTAATGAGTTTTCAAAACTTAAACATGCACATGCAATTAGTATCTACAGCAAGCAACAAAATATATGGGCAACACACACACCTCTCTCATGCCCCCTTCCATTTATAGCTTTGCTAATGTCAAACCTACCTTCCTCTCCCATAGTAAATGTAACAGCTATGGTGTATTTTTTATTTCATTTTTTGTATATGCTACATTAAAACACCTAAACTAAAATACTAGCACACATCAGAATCACCCAGAGGGCGTGATAAAACACAGACTTCTGAGCTCCATATCTGTATTCTCAGATGACAAGACCTGGGGTAAGACCCAGAGTTTGCTCTTCTAACAAGTTACGTGGTGATGCTAACGCTGCTGGTAGGGGACCACATTTTGAGAACGACAGCACAAGAGAGGATAGCATAAGGAATCTCCAAATATCCATCTCCCAGCTGCAACCATTAACAACTCATGGCCAACCACATTTCCTACATATCCTGTCCTCTCCCCCTCCTCCAGATTATCTTCAAGCAAATATCAGAAATCGAAAAAGTACAAAAACCATATGTGGATATCTTAGTGTATCTTATTTGATTTGGAAACACTTCAGTGCATAACTCTAAATATGAGGAATCTATTTTCCTCAACGTTTTATTTTGAAAATACACAAAGCTGAGGAGGTAATACAGTGAAAAATCTTTTGCCTAGATTCACATTATCTCATTGCTTTATCTCTCAGTATTCTTTTTCTTGCTTAACCACATAACAGTTCCAAACACTTCACCCAGTTACTTCAGCATGTACCTCCTAAGTACTAGAATGTACTCCAGTGAAACCACAGTGCCGTGATTCACGTTGAAGAAATGTAACAATGAAGGGCCACTATTATCCAAGTCCACATACAGTCCGTATTTAAATTTTGCCAAATGTCCCAATGATATCCTTTTGAAAGATTTTTGGGGGGATCAGCAATCCAGTCAAATGTGATACATTGCACACAGTTGTCCTGTCTCTTTAGTGCCTTCTAATTGCAAACAGTACCCCAACCAATTTTTTAAACCTTGACGATGACTTTTTTTTCCAGAGCCGAGGCCCGTTGTCTTGTAAAGCGTCTCACAATATGGGTTGGCCTGATAGTTGCCTCTTGTTTACATTTATGTTTGACACTTTGGGTATGAATATTAAGTAGATGTTGAGTAGTTCACATTATATCACATATGGAGGCTTCTAATGCCAGTTTCTCTAGTTACCGGTGATGCTGTTTGTATTCATCAGTTTTATCACTTGATTAAGGTGTTTGTCAGACAGAATACTACATTGTGAAGGTACTTATGTCCCTCTATGATTAACAATTAGTCTGTGGCATGATATTTCGATGACATGCAGATATTCTGTTCTCCAACAAAAGTTTACCTCTTGGCCTTAGTATTCATTCTGGGCTCTTGCCTGAATTGATTATTACTTTGTCGGTTAAAAAAATGGTGATTTTTCTAATTCTGTAATTCATTTCTGCTTTTTTGGATGGGCGTTTTGATGTAAAAAAGCTCATCTCACCCCCTTGCCCACCTTGTTGTTGTTGATGTTGCATTTACTGCGGCAGAGAAAGTGTACAAGCTGTTTATTAGTTTTGTTGGAAGAAATGTAAAGAGAATAAAGTGGACAATGTTAAGAGAAATGTAAAAAAAATACAAGATGAATTTGATAAGAATATTCCC